ACAAACACACAAATAATTAGCATTTATTTACCCTTTCCATCAATCATACCTACTTTAACAAATAATCTTAAATATGTTATAGATGTTAAAGTTTCCATATTCTGCTTTTTCTGGTTTTATATGCCCTTTAGTGTGTTTTCCAAGTGTCCTGTGCATGTTTAGGCACATCTATGTGCAAAAAGTCTTTGTCAGTTTGAAAAATTTGTCAGTGCGAGATCACTGATCTAAGCCCATTGGCTCGTTGTGGCAAGCCCTGCAGCTCATGTTGAAATTTCCAAGAAGCGTGCTGAGCAACTGACCAATAACGACAGAGCGGATCGGCAGACCAATCAGAGCAGACTTGGCCCACGTGGGGTCTAACAGTGTGGGCTCAACAGAGTGCAGCTGACGGACTCAGAGCATAGAGGGAGCAAGGAGGAGCAGTACATGAAAACAGACACTTTTTTCGTACTTTAGCTGTTGTGAACGTACAAAAGTAGGTACATTGATTAAATATACGAACCCCAAAAAGGGCATAATATCTCTTTAAGATGTTGTATTGTATATTGTATGTGCATATTTTTTTTAACACTGACAGGTAACAACAGAGTGGCGTGAGTGGAGAGAAGAAGGCTACTAGCAGCCCATATGGCTGATTTTAACATGAACCCCAACCCTGAAAAGACAATTAGCCAATCATAGTTGAAGTGGCCCCTCGGATGTCCAACCTGATTTCAATGGGGGCCATACCCTCGATCTGCCTCTGCCAATATCAGGACAGTTATATTAACTTGAAAGACAATATTTCCTGCCTACTTTTATGTACATAAGACCTGGAGTTACATAATTAGATGGATATTGTAAATGGTTGTTTCAAGTAACATCTCCAAGTCTGCATGTTTCAGAAGTACCTCAGCTCATGAGGCTCAAAAAGAGCTGAGATAAACTTGATGAGGTGCAAACAGCTATTGATTATTCGGTTGTATCACATGGATTTCTCGACAACTCAGAGATGTGCACTCAAACCACAGCATCCTTCTTTTCTCTCTTTTCAAGGAAGAAACACATCACAAATGGAGCCATTCAGACAATCAAAAAACTCTATGATTAATGTGAAATGTGAGAAGCCAAATATATTCATCTGGCTTTCTAAGAGTGGAAAAACAACTGAATGTTAGCATTTAGACCAAGATTGTCAAGAGCACTTCAATAATTATTTGAAATCAGCAACCATTCCCTGCTAGATTCCATTAAAAAGACACTGCTACTATCATTCAAAATACATGCAGTCGGACAGCTTAAAATGCCTGAGACTAAGGGCGTACTTGGTGCACAATCACACCATCCTCCTCCTCACACCATCAGGTGGGCACAATACCTGCGAGGCAAACTGAAATAGAGTAGCAAGTTATGTACAATCCTATAATCCTTCACTTGGCTGAACAGTTGCCAGTTGTCTCCAGGCTTGACTCTGACTTTACTCACCAGCAGGGAACCAGCAAGCTGAATAATCTGGCTTGTGAAACCACCAGCATCATGGACTATAGTTGAATCTTCAGTTTACTATCACAACCTTAAAGCTCAAAATAAGCAGGTCAGTCAAATCAACAAAGTTCACTTTAAGGTTCACTGAATAAAACACAACGTTCATTGCAGCTGTTCACCCATAACGTGTTAATTTGTTCTTTGTTTTTTAAGTGTTGGCAAATTTCACGTCAAAGATACAAAGGACGTATTAACACAACGATTTCCAGATTTATTTTTGTTTGAAGTTGTTTGAAACCGCCATATAATCACCCACTTACAGCAATTTCAATTACATTGTATGCAGAAATTATGCAACAGCAAAATTGCTTCTTCAAGGACAGATTATTTAACAAATGTAAAACAGTAATTTGATGGTTGAAGTCCTGACTCCATCCATTTCGCTTTCACAATCCTTTTCCTGTTATTCATTAAGCATTAATTTCCCCAGGGACACTCCTTTTGAGCAGCGGGTCTTTTAACTTCAGGGACGCATTTTGTTGACAATCGAAATCCGCTGTGCACATTAAAGGGACAAAAGTGAAAAGCTAATTTCTTTTACTGAAACAAACATGCTAATTTGTCTCAAACAGCTGCATGCTTTCAAAGAATCCTGGGGCGATGGAAATGAAGAGATTTGAGGGAGAGGTATGCGACTAGATGAGTTTGAGATTAGATTGTAGATGGAGAGGAAGAATTGGGGGGGTCATAAATGAATATGGAATACAATCACTCAACGGGAACGCTACTTTACTGTCAATCTGTTCAGACAGAGCTCAATTGGGGACAATTTGAATTGAAATTTAAAAAAGGCTTTGCCAAGCTAAAAAGGAATACAATCAAACCTGCAAGATTATGTTTTACTAGCTTTGGCGGATGTGATACCCCTCACTTTGAGACCAATTTCCACCCAACATGGCTCTTGTCAGGCCAATTACTTCTGTTTGTCTTGTATGGGGCAGGGTTTATGATGACTGTACTATGTAAAGCTTGTGAGGCTTTTTTGTAAACAACCAAGATTTCTACAGTTGACGATGAATGTTTTGAGTTTGCTTTCCTTTCAGTATTGGACTAACTCGACGGTCGTTCAAGTTAAATCATGTGATGCCAACTATCATGTATTATGTTGAACTAGGAGCCATTTGAAATTGACAAGCTTTGCTTAGCAGCCAAGTGATACAGAACGTCGTTTGTTGCTCTGATAGTTGTAGCCCATCTTACCCTAACCTCTTCCCAGGCCAGACAGGAAATTTAGGGCGCACTCACACTATGCGAAGTTGTCTTGTACCGTGCTTAAGCACGATTGCTCCCCCTCCCGTTTCCGACCAGATTTGATATAGTCTTGACAATCATCACCAGGATGCCGCCAGTGGAAGCTGGTATGTCGTTTGCGCTTATTGCATTTTGTCTGCTTTTGCTTTCAATACTCCAAAGCATGCTGATATGTTATTGGTCAATACAGCTTGGACTATTAATATAAAGCGGAATACTTCCAATGCAAAACATCCAGACCCCCTAAAACAGACTCTATACTATTTAAAATGTAACAAAAATTGGTTAAACATGTTATATTTCTTGCCTTACATCACATCTTCCTCTTCTACTATAAATTGGATGGATATGTCTATGCACTCAGGCTAGCTTTGACTCTAACCATAGAAATGCCTCATTGAGCCTTTCCAGGCAGACTTGGCTGAGCACATGAGCAGGAAAACACAATAGTAAAAGTAATTTCATTGCTTCATGAATCTCAATGCCAACACGGGCTTAGCGGCTCACTGCTCGTAAATCATAGTATTGTCATATCTCAGATTCAAATTCTAAATGCAAAAAATCCGTCCCTCACACACGTGCTAGACTGTGTCTGTACAAAGTGGCATCCTCTCTTTTAACGCCTTCTTTTAATCATGCTGATAAAATGTCATTTATTCACTGTCACAAAAGTACAGATAGAACTAAGCGCTCCTTTCACTCTTCCTGCAGTGAAATAGACCATTTCACCATAAGGCTTTAATCAAATCCTTTATCTCACAATAACTCGTTACTACTAACATTTAATTGCCTTTCTGCCACCTTGGCGATGATGAACAACCAGTACTTTGGTTTTAATGTGTTTGTTTTCCTCAAAAGATATGAGGGAAGAAAAAAAAGCAGAACTCCAGAGGTGATTAAAAAAGTTCCCTAATGTCTTCATAACAATTGTGACACCAATTTCTCCAAACTCGCAGTGGTATTAAAGTTTCTACCTTCATAGATTTAGGGATAGCAAAAGTACTCATTCTCTTCACTGAAACAGAAGTACACACATTATATGAGAAAGACTCAGGTACAAGTAGAAGCAGCAGTTCTTAACTTTAAAGTTAAAGTTTGAAAGTACAGGCTCTGTAATGTACTCAGAACACAAAGTAACATTTCCAACTGAAACAGCATAGAACCAATCACAAGACAGAGGGCAGGACATGACGTTTTGATGAATGAAATCGGGTCGTTAGCTACCATAAAGTGTGTTAATTTGTCGGAAGCCAAATTTCCCAAATTGGACCATAAAGTGCATCGTATCATAACGTATCGCATCGCAGGACTTTCTTGTTCTGACCGATCAGCAAAGGAATTATCTTTACTATTTGCTACCGTCCCATCCATTCAGGTTGATCAGTCTATACATTTAGAAAGCCACGAGCAATTATGCAAAATAATAATAATCAAGAACTCACATGGAGTGCAAGTAGAAAGAAGGAAGAAAGAGAGAGACGTTTTGTTTGGTTGAACAGTTTTCCTTATATTGTGGTTTTCCAGAGTTAGATTAATATAAGAGCAATTGCTTTGAATTACATTTGGTGCTGAGTATTTCTTTATGTAAGACAATGTTAGGGTCTGCATTTTGTCCTTGTGTGACATTTTGATTTAGAAAACCCCAAACTGACAAACTAAACCTTTCATAAAAATAAAAACCCACAGACTTATCATCAATGCCAGGAGAGAGACCTCCTGGACATAAACAAATATTAAAATAATAAAATAAAAACGCATCTCAAAGTCAAACTGTCACAAAAGATAAGGGTAAAAAGAAAAGAGTTGGAGTACAGACCTGAAAACTTACACACAGTAAAAGCCGTTTTATTGGTAACATTCATAGTTTGCACTTTCTTACCAGAAACTTTTGAAAAGACTTAAAAGTTAACACACAAAAACAAACATGACCAACATAATCAATCTCTTTCACATCTCTCAATTGCCGCTTCACACATTATTACACTGATCCCATTATTTTAGCATCCTGACAGACATTCAAAGCTGTAAATTAGGCCACAGTGCAGAGTAATCCTGTCCTGCACTTGTCGAGCAGGTGCTTTGAAACCCCCCCCCGAGTAGTCTCACAACCTTCCTCTTACTACTGCTCTGTGACAGACGCAACAGGTACTCTAATGCTGACACATACAAAAAGCAAGCTCCTAAATCACGGCACCCTCAAAAGGATTAATCTTCTAATATCTTACCCTCCATAAGCTCCGAATGTGAAAGCTCTTTTCCTCTGAGGCATCCTTCCTGAACGGCTGATGAGGCTTTGCAGGAATCGGTGCACTTAGCTACACGAGGCTAAAAAACAACAACAGTCATACCCTCCTTCTTTTCTACCTCTCTTTGTGTCTCCTCTCTTTCTCTACCTCTTTCACTCCTCTCCTCCCGCATTGTCTCAGCCCTCATCCTGAGTGTGTGTGTGTGTTCTGTCTGAGTGTTTTATGTGTGTACACATGACGCCCCCCCCCCCCCGTCCTGTCTCCTCTCCGCTCTCTGACTAAGTAGCTCCTATCTCTGGCAGATTAAGAGGAAAGGTGTCCAGCCGTCCTGGAAACAAAGAGCACTATTACTAAGACAAGGCGTTTCTCATTTGCTAGCAGGAAGAAGGCACAAAATACTTAAATTTCCTGCTCGTGTCCTATGAAAGCTACTTCCCCCGAAAGCTTAACTCTCGGCTATACTCATGATGTGAATCTCAAGTGCTCTTCGCTTAAGAACGGGTCTAGTGGGAAACAAATATGAAGGCATAGAGAGGTAACAATACACTTCAAGGCTGCTGCTTTCTTGTAGATTCAAATAATTAATTGACTTTGCCATATCGCCCCTTTAAAGCAACAGTAAGGTTATTACTCTGAGCTAAGCAATCTATCTAAGATCTAAGATAACTATCTATTCAGAAAATAAAAGAGATTCTGATTAAAACAGGTCGTGATGCTGAATGAAGTTTTTTGAAAAGTAAGTACTAGTGTTTCTCTGGCACTGTCTAGCTAACAAAGGAGCTGCAGCTAGCTTGTTTTTTACATGTTAGCCTTACATGTTAGAGGATTTCTGCACAGTACAGTACAAGGTTTTCTGAGGAGCCAGACAAACTGACTCATGATTTCAAATGATAAAAATACTCAATGAAGACGTTTGTGTATACAAATGTGTGTCTTTCTGGCACTCTTTAGCTCAGGAGATGCCAGATAAGCTCAGGCTAGCACGCTCTCTTCTCAACATAATCTGTCTCTTTTCAGCTGTCCTTTCCAATAAAAGGCAGAAATGGCCCAAAAAAATATCTTTAATGAAGGACGGCGATGTGATGTGAAAACCCAAGCCTACACTAAACAGAGGCTCTGCAACAGCAAAGTCTAACAAAGTCAAGCCGTTATGTTGTCCTCACACTTTAACACTGAAACAAACAGCGCCGTCATATTGGCGTCCCACTGTGTGATCTCACACAGCGCTCCAACCATGCAGAAGCAGGATGCATCTTTCTCCTCCCCTGTTAACACAGACGTCATTTTGCCTCTCTTATTTCTGTTGCTGCCAAATTAATGGCGAAACGACTTCCCCCTCATCGTTCCAACTTCTTACCCTTTTACAAAGACTCACTACAGAAGCACAGCAGTCCCCGTCTTGAAGAGGCTCTGAAAAAAGGGGCATGGAGAAGAAAGCAGTCGGCTGATAGAAACGCCTCTTTCAGCTAAAACATGTACGTCATAGTAGTAGTTTTATGTGAAGCTAAACTGCTGAAAGGGATAAAAAGACAAAGCTTGTATCACACCAAGACATTGGAAAGTAAAATATACAATCCAGCTGAATGGTTTAGGCGAGCAACTTTTTCTCTCATTATATATTTGGAGTTGTTAATCAGCCTATATGCTCGGGTCTGATTTCTTTCTTTCTCAAGCCTTTAGGCTTCAGTAAACTGGCAGACACTTTATATCATGCTGGAAAATGCAGTGCCAAAGAGCCATGCCAGCTGACGTCAGATACTCATTTGGCGTTTGTCCTTTCACAATGTCACTGTTGTTGTTGAGTTTCCATTCAGAGCCTGATGATTTGAAACCAAACAGAGCCTATCGTGTTACCATCTGAGGGAACCACACACATCTGAAGCAGTGGCTGTTCTTTAACTGGAAAACGTTTGCTTTTGGGTTTTCGAAAAAAATAAATTGCTGTTTCGACTCGAATTTCCTGGTTTGTTGGCCTGTATTAGTTGACAATTCTCACAGAGGTAGATGTAGCCTGAAAAGAGGTTGAGAAAGATTATCTGATGTTTGCAGTTCTCTCGTGTTACCTGACCTATTTCAACCTGGTAGTTCTGGCTCTGTGACCGACTTTCAGAGGTTTTGCTGTGATCACACTTCTCCCTGCAGAGCAGAGAGAGACACTTCTACCTCTGGAAAGTGACAGAATTTCTCTCAAACGTCCATCAATAAATGGACACCAGCATGTTGTGAAAGTGATCTCTATGTCACTCATTTTATGGTCAAATAAGAGAGGACGATTTTAATTTTATTAATGTTATTTCTAAAGGGGGAAAGTACAATATTAAACAATCTTAAATCTACGGATTTAGTTTCTTCTCATTTTATTTCCTCTAAAGATTTTATCCCTCTCTCTATTTCTCCATCCTCTCATCCTACTTTCTCCTCCTCCACTGTCTGTCTATGCTATATCTCTGAGTACATTATAAAGTTTCCTGCCATAATGAGTTAGCATATCCTCCCCTGACCTGTCTGGATCAAGTGTATAGATTGTCCTCTTTTCCCCCTCCTCATCAGTGCTTATGTTGGGGTGCCCTAACGACTCCCCTGTCGACCTTGTGATTAGGTCTAACTGGACTCTGGCCAGACACTGGCAATAAATCAAATCAGAAGCTGGTCGAGGAGAGGACACAGGAATGTGTCATGCATATCCACAGTGTCTCCTTCAAGGTCCTTCATCTCTGTCGACTGACATTGATACTCAATGTCCTGCAATGATGCTTTAATATTTTACGATTCTGGGTCCGTATCTGTATAACAAACATCAATCCTCTGTGTGAACAGACCTAAACACTTGGCTGGAGATGAAATATTGTATGTAAAATAAAGTGATAGAACTGCAGAAAAAGAGAAACAGAAGACATTAGTAACTATCTATGTTTGTGTCATAACCTCAGAGCTTACGTCAAATACATTTCAAATGGCAGATTCTAAAAATTGGACCGCCAAGACGCAATTCTGTGGCAGTTTTCCACCTAAAAACTAATGTGGACAAGCAACTAGCAATTAAATATAAACGTTGAGACTTTCAAATGAAGGGGTCAAGTTAGCCGCTTTCAGCCGCACAGATAAATGAACGATCATTCAATCTTAATACTTGAGGTAGCAGTGCATCTCAGATCCTCTTGCTTTTATGCAACTACACCTTCCTACTTTTTGCTTTCATGATAGACACAACATCTCACACAAATTCAATCTCACAAGTATATAAGATTGAATTGAGTAGATATTGTGCAGTATAGTCAGGGTGTTTTAATGCAGATCAAAGACAAAGCTGGCATGAGGGAGAGACTGATAAAAAAAAGACACGGTTTAAAATCCATCTGCTACTACAGAGCTGTGGACTACCTATATATTCCACAGCCATGGTCAGGGACTTGATTCTACCTTGCACAAACTGAAGTCAAGAGAAAGGACCAAATGATTTTCCTCACTAGCTTAATATGTTATATATTTGACTGAACAACCCCTTTGCCCCTGCAATTTGTCTGCTGTTGGGATTGGCGAGGAGGGTGGCTGGTTAACAAGGCGGATGCATTATGGTGATTTTGCTAACAAAGAGGAAAGCATCCTCCTTTCCCACCATTTCAGTTGCAGAAGCTTTTTTATGCAGATTTCTCGTACTGGAAAATTCAAGTGTACTTCAACAGGACGGACCACAGGCCCACATTTGCATCCACCTAAAATGAGACCTTTTTGATTTTAGAGCAAAGTGAACAAATAACACATTCTCTTTTCATGCAGCCTTTTCCAAGTTCCTCGTCTGATCATGACACTGAAATGTTGTATCTGTAGGAGAATGATTCTCCAGAGCCAGACATCTACTGACAAACTTGTTACTGTCGCTGCAGTAATTTAGTTTCAAGAGCTCTTTTCACAGTTGATTTTCTCTTGTGTATATCTCAAAAGATGTCCTTGGTAGAGATGTGGGAAGAGGAAAAAAATACAGTATTTACCCAGACTGATTTGTGTGAGCAGGTGAAAGGAAAAGGGCAGCTTGGTGTAATTAGTCAGCAGGCTTTATTCAGGAGACGTGCCAGGCTGGCTGAAGCGTTCTTCTAAAGCAGGTCAGCTTTGACTTTGAGGACTACACTGGCAACAGGATGAGGGAGACAGTAATGGGAAGCTGCCCTCTGTGAGATGGGGTTCAGTCCACCCTGAAATACTGCTGTCATCGGTGGATAAATACTTCACTAACAAACCACTTCCACGGCAAGAGACAGAGTTACAACACTGAGCACAGAAGCTGACATGGGGAGAGAGCATTTAGTACAAAATGACAAATACGCTGTGAGGAGGAAGGAAGATAGACCGCTGACAGAGGTATTTATCAAATTCACATGGCCACCATTTTTCTCTGGTGTCACACTCAGGGTGGGCAGCCAATGCAGTTTTCATGTTCCAGGTTTATCAACCTTTGTAATAAGAGGAATAATAGATGAGAATTGACTGTATGCTAACATTAGTTCTTGGGTTTATAGCTAATAGGTTATCCAATAGACTTTGATGTTTTACAATGAAAAATGTGACTCAATGTCTGTAGTATTTTTTAGTTGCTGATTGGTTGTGAAGTTGTGAATATTAAAGGTCCAATATGTAAGATATTTACTGAATTTAGAGTGCAGAAAGCTTTCAGGATTGATGCAGAGCTGGTTTAACACTGAGGGGGGAAGGAGCGCCGTGAGACAGCTCTCCTCAATGTTTTGAATTTGGACTGCAGTACCCATTTTAAACACTAGGTGTCAGAGCTACATATTGCTCCTTTAACCATTTGTCAGATTCCCTTTGTTAATACAATTTGCAAACCTGGGATACAACTTTGTAACTTTATAATTGCATTTTCGCATCCCACCTGGAGTGTGATGATGTTGAACTGGTAGAAGTGTATTATGGCAAAAAACAATAGACAAAAGAATGAGATTCCATTAAGTGCTTTAGTATCTTCTTTTTTGAAGACATCTCAGAGGTCTTCTTGTATTCTAGATGTTTTTTCCACGGGTCTTTATTTATTTATTTATTCACTGTGTTTTTCCAGTTTTATTATGTCTTCCTGAATTATTCATTATGTTGTTGTGCTTTTATGTTTCGTAAAGCACCTTGTGATGTTGGTGTTGATGAGTGCTAAACAAATAACTTTAATG